ATTTTAAATTTCTATGTATAATGAAATTTGAGTTAATTATTTTCTATGAAAGGTTTAGGTTGAGATGTAATTTGTTTTCAATAAACAAACCATTGTTTCAAAAATAGTTGTTGAAAAGTCTATCCTGCTCCATTGAACTGAATTTGCACTTTTGTAAAAAAATCAAATGATCACTTTTGCCGAGTCTTTTTCTAATGTCCGTCTTCTGCCCACTGATCTATGTATTTATTCCTTGGCCAATTTCACATCAATTTATTACCATAACTTTATAAGACTTAAAATTGAGTGGAAGGGGGCCTCCCTGGTGGCACAAGGAGTTAAGCACTGCACTATGAAGTAATCCGAAGCCTCTGCAGCATGAGTTTGATCCCCAGCTGGCCAGGGAGCAAGCCACATGGCAAAGCAAACCCCTTCTGTCTCGCCTGCTGCTCCCCTCAGTAGTGTATTTCAGTCAGTCTGCCTGTTCTGTTCCCCACTCTAGTCTCTGGTGAATCCTCTCACCCCCTGCATCTCTGGCCAGTTAACGGTTAACGGGGATGTATTTTAAAAAAATTGAGTGGAATGACTTAATCAGCTTTAATTTTATTTTTCAGAATTGTTTCAGCTATTCCAGCTCCTTAGACTTTCTGTACAAATTTTAAATTCAATTTGAGTATATCTAGAAAAAGCCTGGCTGGGATTTGAAGTAAATCTAAATATCAGTTTGGGAAGAACTGACATCTTTATCATGTGGAGAATTCCAGATCAAGAACACAGTATGTCATTCCACCTATTTAGATTTCTTTTTCAACTTTTATAATGTGTTGTAGTTTTCATCATATAAATCACATATATTTTTATTAGACATATGCTTAGTACTTTTTTATTTTTTGAAGTCTTATAAATTACATCATTTGCTAAAATATTGATATCCAATGTATAATGTCAACATGTTGATACACAACAGACTTTTGTGTTTTGAGTTTATTCTTGCAACCTTGCTAAATTTAGCAGTTCTAGGATTTCTTGATCCTATGATTTTTTTTTATATGGACAAACATTTTAACTGAGAACAGAGACTGTTTTATATCCTTTTTTCCAATCTGCATGTGTTTCCTTTTTCTTACCACATTGCATATATTGCTCACATATAGTCCTGCCTGAATAGGAGTGGTGAGAGTACAGCTTTTGTCTTGGCTCTAATGTTATGGGGGAAGCATCTGTTCTTTCACCACTAATTATGATGGCAGCTATAGGTTTTTGTAGATATCTTTTATGAGGTTGAGGAATACCACTTCTTCAGTTTTCTGATTTTGTTAAAAATAAGAATGTGAAGATCTTGTATTTTATCAAACGCTTTTTCTTTATCTATTTATGTGATCACGTGGGATTTCTTCAGACTACTCACAGTAGTGGGATTTTCAATTATTGAACAGCATTGGATTCCTGGAATAAACTCCAACTGATCATTTGTAATATTATTTTTATGTAGTGCTTGATTCATTTTGATAATATTTTGTTGAGAATTTTTATGTCTTGCTCATGAAGGATACTGGTCTGTAGTTTCTTCCTCTTTCTTTGTATTCATTCTTCATCCTCCTTTAATTCTAATTTTCTCCTTATTTCTCTCTTTCTACTATCCCCTTTCCCTCTACTGTCTTTGTTGGGTTTTAGTATGAAGATAATTCTAGTGTCAGAAAAATGAGTTATAAGTATTCTTCCCTCTACTATTTCTGGAAGAGATTATGTATAATTGTTGCTTTTCCTTCATTAAATATTTGAAAGACTTTTCCAGTGAAAACATCTGGGTCTGCAATTTTTTTCCCCAGAGTTTTAGCAAAAAATCAATTTCTTAAATAGAGGATTTTCTGGTTATCTATTTCATCTTGAATAAGTTTTGTTTGTAGTTTTTGAAAAACTGATCACTATCTTCTTCATTTTCAAATTTATGTGCATAAATAATATTCTCTTAATAACCTATTATTGTTTGCTGTGTTTGTAGTGATACTCCCTTTTTTTATAGCAGATGATAATAAAATAAGCTGTCTTTTTTTTTTTGTCAGCTTTGTTTCATGTCTATCAATTTTATTGATCTTTTCAAGGATCCGGTTTTTCATTTCATTTTTTTCCATTGGCTTTCTGCCTTAAATTTTTTTTAAATTTATTTTTATTTATACAAGAATTGGGGTACAGACCAGATGTGTGGGAGGGTGAGAGGAGTCACCAGAAAAAGAGTGGGGAACAGAACAGGCAGACTGATGAAATACACTGCTGAGGGGAGCAGTGGGCGAGACAGGAAAGGTCTGCCGCACCATGTGGGACCCTCGCAGGGCCGGGATCGAACCGGCACTGCAGAGGCTGCAGACAGCTTCACAGCATGGCGCTCAACTGCCTGCGCACCAGGGGAGGCCCTCTGCCTTGAATTTCATTAATCTGTTTATTATTTTTTTCTTTACTGATTGGTTTGTACTTTTTTAAAACGTTTCATGAAGTATACGATTAGATGATCAATTTTAGACTTTCTTTTCTAAACATTTATTTACATAAACTTCCCTCTTATCACTAATTCAGTAGTATCACACAAATTTTCATGTGGTTGATTGTCATTCACTTTCCTAAAAGCTGTTGAGACTTTCTTTTTGCTCCATGAACTGTTTAGAATTATTATTTGATTTTCAAAAGTTTGGAGATTTTACTGATCCATATCATATTTTGTTTCATTAATTCCATTATGATCTGAAGGTTGAGAAATAATCAGGCTATAACACAATGAAAAGGGTTTCTACTTAAGTTCAGGAGTCATGATCTGAGTCTAAGACCAAGGGGGCGTCCCAAATGAATTCTTTTTTGGAAGGCTGTAGTTCAATAACTGAAATTATCAATAATTGAAATTAAAACAATTTTACTTATTAGATATCTTAATAACAAAACAAGCACCCCTAAGTGGTAGGCAGGGAGTGAAAGTATATATTTGCAGAGGTTTGAACCTATATCTCCTAGAGCAGATAAAACGATGGAAGCCTAAATATAATTTGGGGAAAAGAATAATAATAATATATACATCTCTAATTGTAGTGTTATAAAAGATTGAATTCTCATGTTTAGCTTTGCATCTTGTTTCCCACATGCAGGATAAGTTGAAATCCACCAATAAATATACAGTTTTGTCCATCACCATTATAATTATCTTTTCTCCAATTGGCACAGTAATTTCTCTTTAATACAATACTAGATACCTAAGTAAAACAAGGAGAAGAAACCAGGCAAAACGCTCCTACTGGCAGAGAAAGGAAAGAATGATGTATTTCTTCTCATATAATTACCAGTTTTTGCCCTTTAAAGGGTAGCCTGGGGCAGGAAAGGTACATAGCACATGAGTGGCTTTTTTAGTAGTTTTGCTAATTCACTGACAGCTTCCCCTGCATTAGTTTAGTCAGAAATTGGTACACAGAACAGAATACAATTTGTGTGACCATAAGGCATCCACAAATTGTGCTAGGATAATGGTGGCAATGTTTAGGGGCAGCCAGTTCTTTTACTTACCCAATTAAAGAGAAAAGAAATTAAAGTCAAACAAAAAAACAAAACATACAAACAAAAGATTGAAGAAAATAAAGAGGAAAGGGACCTCCCTGGTGGCGCAGGGGTTAAAGACAGTGCTACCAAGCTACCCCCAGAAGAGCTACCCCCAGCCACTGCAATATGAGTTAGATGCCCAGCCAGGGAGGTGACACACATGTCACAGCAGACCTCTCCTGTCCCGCCCACTGCCACCTTCAGCAGTGTATTTCAGTTGATCTGCCTGTTCTGCTCCCCACTCTGTGTCTGGTGAATTCTCTTACCCCTCCCCACACCTCTGGCCTATCCCCCAGTTCTTATATGCATAAATAAATAAATCTTAAAAAAAATAAAGAGGAAAGGCAGGTAGGCAGTCACATCCCAATTGACACCAGCATCTTTCCATTTAGCTATAAACACATTGAAGTTTTTGGTTATGGCATTTTGGTTATGAAGTCTGAAATTCATGTTCTAGTTCTGCCAGTTCCTAACTATACATCTTTTGCTCTAGACTAATTTGCTCTAGTCTGGGTTTTTTTTTTTTTTTTTTAAAGATTTATTTATTTTTATACAATAAACCGGGGTACAGGACAGATGTGGGAAGGGTGAGAGGATTCACCAGAGACAGAGTGGAAAACAGAACAGACAGACTGGCAAAATACACTGCTGAGCAGTGGGCGAGACAGGAGAGGTTGGCTTCGCCGTGTGGGATTCTCCCTGGCCGGCCGGGATCGAACCCACACTGCAGAGGCTGTGGACAGCTTCACAGTGCAGCACTCAACTGCCTGCATCACCAGGGAGGCCCCACTATTCCGTTTTTTCTCCCTTGTAGGAGTTGCTCTGAGACTTAATAGTGTATGTTAAAGATTAGAGCCAATCATATTGCCTAGCACACAGAATTGATAATAAATTAATGATAGTTTTTCTTCTCCTTCTTTCAAGAAACAGTATATATTTATTCTCAAAACAGTGAGCACATTTAAACTGCTTTAACTTTCCAAATTTCCTATAGTAATGCATTTGAATGTTATATACGAAAACAAGTCACACAATCTAAGTATCGTCTCTAATGGGTTTTTGTTACTGATCAACGCACCTTCTTATATCAATCATTTTGAAATAGCCCACTAATGTTTACAGGTAAGAGGAGATGAAAATAGCTCAAACAATAGAAAAAAATATCTTCACGAATCTAAGCTACTTGACTATTTTGGGGGTAGGTAGTATGGAGAAGTTAACATACATTGGGCAAATTAATTATTCAGAGAACATTAGTCTTGTTAAGTATTATTTGAAACTTTACAACTCAATAAAGATATGAAGTCCATCTTTGCTATATGCAAGAAAAAATGTAATTTTCATTAAAGAAACTATAATAAAATTAGGAACCTGTACTTAAGAACATTAATTTAGACCAGAGACCAAATTTATCTTTCTTAAAAAAGGAAAAAAAATGTACTTACTTCTTAGATTATGAAGTAACATATCTAATAAAGTCATAAACTTTGAATATTGAAGTATCGAAAATTCCATTCCTTTTGCCCACCAAAATCCAGATGCATAATAATCTAGCAGAATGGCTTCCTTTAAACAGGTATGAAGATTTTTGAAATTCAAAAACTTTTCCAATTTTCTGGAAAAAAAAAAAAAAAGAAAGAAAATCCACAAATACTGAAGAGTTTCTTTTTGGAAGGTTGGAAAACATAGCTAATTTTCTTGAATTAAAATTCCACAATGCCCATAACTTAAAAAGAGACATGATTATATCAAAATCCAGAATGACTAGAGAGACCTCTTTTCTCTTTTCAGTCATCTTCTCCCCCTTCCTTTTTGTTCTTCTTGTTGCCCTGCTTCCCCTCTTCCTCCTCTTTTTCCTTTTTTCCATCTTTGATGTTTAATAAATTTACTAGTATTTTTTTTAAAGATTTATTTATTTATTCATACAAGCACTGGGTACAGTCAGAAGCGTGGGAGGGTGAGAGAATTCACCAGAGCCAGAGCGGGGAGCAGAACAGGCAGACTGACGAAATACACTGCTGAGGGGAGCAGCGGGCGGGGCAGGAGAGGTCTGCCACCCTCGCCTTTGGCCGGGGATTGAACCTGCATCGCAGAGGCTGTGGGCAGCCTCGCAGCCCAGGCTTCAACCGCTGCGCCACCAGGGAGGCCCAATTTACTAGTATTTTTTTCCCTCTAAAATTCAATGCCTTTTTTCCAATTACACAATCAAGTTCACTTTTTAAAAAAAAATTTTCTGTAACTAGATTGCTAAATATTTTATGAGTTTTTTTTTCTTTTTTCTAAAGAATTCCAATTAGGTATATTTTAATATAGCTATAATTTTCTCAATAACTCCAAAATTTTTTCAAGTTAATTTTCTTTTCACTTTATACACTTTTCTCATGACTGTCTCCTGTGCTCCTTACTGTTTCCAGTAGTTAATTCTCCCTTGAGTTTGGGTTGCTAATATATTTCACCTTTTTTTTTTAAGCATCTTTTATCACCTTTTTTTTCCCAGTTATGTTTTCTTTGAAGTTTTATATCTCTATTTTATGCTCTTATTGTGATTTCTTGATAAGTTGTTACAATTTGTGTTAAAATATTGGTCCATATTCTTTTGTGTACCTATGATTTTATTTTTCTGGTCTATTCTTTATCTGTCATGCTTTCTTTATTTATTCTTTTATATTTCTTCCTGTAATGTCTTTGTATGCATGTAATCATATTTCTTGTTTATTACTTAACTGGCCATTTTTTAAAATTTTTTTTTTTTTTTTTTTTTTTTTTGTGGGACCCTCGCCGGTGGCCAGGGATCGAACTGGCGCTGCAGCCTCGCAACCCAGCACTCAACCGCTGTGCCACCAGGGGAGGCCCTAAAGATTTTTTTATTTATATATGCATACAAGAACTGGGATCCAGGCCAGAAGTGTGGGGTGTGAGAGGATTCACCAGGGACAGATGGGGAGCAGAACAGGCAGACTGACTGAAATACACTGCTGAGGGGAGCAGCGGGCAAGACAGGAGAGGTCTGCTGCTCCATGTGGATTAGCTCCCTGGCTGGGGATCAAACTCAGTGGCTGGAGATAATTTTATACTTAAGCCCTTGCACCATCAGGGAGGCTCCTTACCTGCCCACGTTATAAGGTATTTGTTGTATGAAATAATTCTGTGTCAATTATCCTAGCCTTCGGTTTTTTTGAATTAGTGGGGCAAAAGGAAAAAAGTCTGATAGGCTCTCTTTACTATCTCTTAAGCAATCTGCTTTTTATAAATATGAGAAGTACCTGCTACAAGCCTGTACATCCTGATCCCATAATTGCAAACATGCACTTGTGAAAAGTAGTTTAATTTTTTTTTTTCCTCATCTGGGAGAATAAGTATATTTTTAGCTCATTCTAAGATCTAAAAATGAATATTCTTCTTCTACTTTCTCCTGTACTTCTACTTGCTCTGTAATGTCTCTGACTGCCATCATCATATTTTGTGATTTGGGCCTTCAATATTTTTCTGTTAACAAAGATAGATTTGGTGTTTCCTTGTCACTTATATGTGTTTCCTCATCACTTATATGTGATTTCTGAGTGAGGGAATGTGTGTGTGATGTGTGTGAACTTTATCCTCCCATTATCAAAAAATTAAGTCCTTATTTATAACATTGGAATGATAAGAATAATAAATACAGTGGGGTTAAACAAATTTTGGAATAATAAAGCTTATCCTGTGTTTAACTAACATTGATTTCATCATCCGTGGTATCAGGGCAGACCTCATCCACAAAAGTGAGTTCTGATTATTTTAAGTTCACCATGGAAGTCTTTCTTACCTGCCCTCCCCAAATGCCAAATAAATCCATTTAATATATGGCATTTTCTATAATTATTAATCAATGATTGACACTTTCCTAAATTGTTCTAATTCATAACAGACAGTGATTTTCTCTTTCTTCTGTGGAAAAAAATTAAAAACAGTAAATAAGTAAGTTTGATTGCTACTAGTATCCATCTTATAGCCATAAGGAAAAGCAGTCCTAAGATTAACTTCATTTCTTATTGATACTGTTGAGAACTTGAGTCAATCAACTCTGTAGTAAACCTATCAGTCAATTTCCTGATATGTGATATTTTACATTTGCATGTCTGTGTATTTATATTTTATTTTTTTTTCAGTCTTTATGATTAGTTTTTATGTTACATGCAAGTAAGAGAATCCTGATACATTTTGTCAAGCACACACTCAACTCATAGATGTGGTTATGAATAAACAGGTATTCCAAGGGATGGAAGTTACCTTACTTACCAAGCATATTCATTTGAATTGGATATCAGTCTGCAGCATTTAGTTTTTAATACTTAATGTGCAATGTCATTTAGTCTTAAGTGAAAGTCAGTAAGGAAACTTCTACTACAGTGAAAAACCTTGTGGTATTGTAATGGAATCAATATATTGGCTAAGAGAGAGGTAGCAAGCCCACAAAGTATATAGGAACTTGGTAAGTAACTGAGGAGGTATTTCAAACTAATAAGGAAAGTTTGAACTCTTCAAAAATGGTGCTGGGAGAATTGGCTACTTAATAGAAAATAAAATACTATCTTACCCAACACATTAAAGTAAAATCCAGGTGGATTAACTAAAATAACCTCATTAGTATTTTATTCTGGAAGCACATTCTATTGACTCTCCAAATTTAGGTTACTTGTCATTCCAATAATTTTTGCAGCTGAATGTTGCTAAGGAAAAATCTGAGGCCTCCGTGCTTATTTTCTTCTCCAGGTACACGCTTCACCCCAGACATAGGTATGCCTAAAATTCTATTCTATGAAATATTAAAATCAAAACTTCCATTTTATGAAGTTTAAATTATTCTTTCTGATTTACTATTTTGGATATATATTTTAACATCTTTTATTTGCTTTAATTTGCATTTTGCATAAATTTTCTTAAATTTGTCTTCTATTTACTTTACCAACTTTATTTTCAGCAAGATAGTTCTATATTGGTTTTATTTACCCTACTTTCTTGCTATAGTTCAAAAGGCATCTTATTTACCTGCTTTATCATTTTTTCTTCAATCTTTTCTTTTACAGAATCAATGCCCTCTCTAATAATCAGTTTTTATCTAACTTTTTCTTCTGTTTCTGCACTTAGTCTTCTAAGCATATTCTTCACCTGCCATCTACATGTTGTGTTTAAAAAAAAAAAAAATTTGGCTTGAAAAACTCCATGTGTTCTTTGCTTTTCATTTTCATTTTTTTCAGTATTCAATTGTATATGAATGTAGTCAACTACTTGTCTAAGAATATTTTGATGAAATCTCTTTGAGGTCCCCAGACCTTTGCTCTCCTCCTACACCCAGATGCCATTACTTTGTACCAACTGAATCTTAACCGTCAACGTAAACTACCATTTCTCTTCTTATTCAGTCATTTCACTACAAACATTAAGCAGGGAGGTATTTGGAGCAAGAAACTGTTGCCATTTGAAAGCACAGTTTCTACGCATTTTATTGGCAAATTTGCAAACTTTTTTTCAGGGATGGGGGAGATAAAATATGGAAGGGGAGAGATGACTATAGCTGTAATGTGACTGAATGTAGGGAAAGAAAAAAGTACTTTACAGTGGTTTAGGGTGTTTTGCTAGTGATGGGTGATGTGACTAGCTACGCTGTCTCACCAAAAAATTCAGTGAAAGTATTACATAGACTTGCATACTCCTCAAGTACATTTTATTTTTGAATATGATAACACGCAGCAGAAATAAGCCTTGAGGAAAAAGTGAAATGCTCATAGAGGCCCAGTTATAGAAAGGTTATTAAAAGATCACTCAGTGTTATTTCTGTATTTAAGTGGTGACTTTCAATTTAGTATCTATTCTGTTTTATGAAAAGATTTGGGTGGATCGCTAAATAAAATCAGGTTACATTAAAGTGAATGATTGATAGTAGTTAGGAGGCCCTGAGACTGTAGTTAGACATTTCATTTTCTCAGAAATGTACACCAGAAAGATGTTTTAATGATATTTTAACATTCTACTTCATTGACTGCCTTCAAAGAGCACATTTTTAATTTTAAAAGTTAGGGAAATGTGTGGACTTCCTATAATTTATTTAATTAGGTTTATAACTTTCAGACTCTATGATTTTGGCATACTTCTGTCATTTGATGACAGGATATTTAAATTATATTTCTGTCACTTTGAAAAGTATATAATCCCTATTTATAATAATGCTATTTTAAATCGAAAGTGAGTGCAAATATTTCAGGATTACTGTTATGAAAATCATATAAAGAAAATTCAGAAAGTTACTTTGCAAAGAAATGGCTCCTGACATAACACTGGCATCATTGATCCAAAATTGAGGTCCTAAAATCTGAGATTATGTGAATTTTATTAATGAAATGCTATAAAAAGTCAGCCTGCTGTTGAACCTGATTATTTCTATAGTGCTAACCTCTGTTTTACCCTCTGTTTAATTTACTTTGTCAGAGGTGTCACCTCTTACAGATCAAAAATACTTTCAGAATCATGATATTTAACAACAGAGGCAATAATCAGAAAAATAAACATAATCACACAAAAAATTATACATAGTGCAACTTAAGATATGGTTAAAAAGATAGGCTAAAAAGCATTTGTTTGCAACACTTTAATATCAATTGAGTTTAATAAAACATCGTTTATTTAATATTTAATGCAAACAGATAATAAGTTCTATTAAATATATGTCATTTGCATTGTATTAATTTACCTAGTATTAAATGCCTATCTATTGCATTTCAATGATCAGTAATTTGGGGGAGGGGAGAACCTAGAAATAGAAAATAATATTTTACAGAAAAACATAATCAGTTGGTATTAATACATGAATGCATTTTACTAATTAATTCTGACACTAAAAATAAGAATTACTAATGAGCATTCATTGCTATTAATGTGGTAAAATAACCATGAAATACTTGTATAAAATCTGTGAAATTTTTAACTGACTGACAAGTACTTAAAAAGATAAAGATAGTGAGAAGAAAGTCCAGATTACAGATTACCAGGATTTCTAACAGGATTTACAGATGCTGGAGGTGAAGAGCATCTTGGGAAAAGGCCTGTCAGTATCAGCTACTTGCTCTTTATATGCCTCCCTTTCTCAGATTTCTCTTCCAGCTTGGACATCTGTCCCATTTCCTTCTCAGTAGTAAATAACCTCTATTCTATAATATTTGTAAGATTTGTAAATGGTAACCACTGACAGAGTCATTTTCTATATGTCCATTATACTTCACAATATCTTGCTTACATCCAGAGGGCTCACCTGAAGAAATCTTACACTGGGACATTACAGGCCAAAATATCACATCATCCCCATTCTCTATGTATTATGGCCAATCAGCCTTCCTCTATTTGAGCAAAATAATTTTTTAAGTAAATGCTTACTAAAAAGATCTTTATGACACTGTTGTGTCCATAGTTATATGTGGCTAGAGTTCTTAGTAAATGATCTATGGCAGAAATCAATGACCTTAAGAAGAAGATATACATATATTAGAATAGTTATCTACAAATTTAGTTATATTTACATTTTAATGCCAAATGTATGAAGTTGGAATAATTAGTATAGCTTCATATCCAATAAAAATCATAGGTGGATTATATTCAGGATTTCCAGAATAATAAAATGTATTTAATAGTAATTTTACAGAAACCACAAGTTAACTCTTATGAGACAGAAGATTCTTTAGGTTCTTGTGCATATTGATAGCTTTATGAATGAAAAAGAAAAAGACTAGAAGACTACATGCTAAAGACTGCTTTGAACAATAAATCTTTATTTTCAGTTAATATTAACATTTGATTTGAAATACATTTTTCCCATAAAGAAAATTGCTGAGGGATACAAAAAATCAATTTGTTGGAGAAATTTTGTGCTCCAGAGTGCAAAGATCTATCCATCTATCCATCTACCCATCCATCCATCTATCCAATATAAAAACAAATACAAGTATTTTGGAAAAAGTTTAAAATAACATATCATGGTCAATTTTAGAATTGTTCTCTATTTGGTTATAATATTGAAGTGCTTACTGTTGAATCCCATCAATGTCCTCTTCTAGCATTTCAGTGATTTGGGCAACTGAAAGAAAATCTGGAGACAGGATCTTTTCTGGCTCCTGTGAATCATCTTTCTAAAATAAAAAAAAAAAGTAAAATGAGTTTTTGTTGTTGTTGTGAATAGCTTTATTCTCAGTGGCGAAACTATGTAAACAACCAAAATGTTAAACAAATGGTAGTATATCTATAACACAGACTACTATTCAGTAATAAACAGAGCAAAATATGGCACACACAACTTGCATGCATCTCAAGGCCATTAGACCAAGTTGAAAAAAATTAATCTCAAAATCACATAATCTATGTTTCTTTTTATATAATGCTTACTTTCAACATGTTAGAACCACGGATACAGACAATAAGTTAGGGTTTCCCTGGGATTCGGAATGGCTGGAAAGAAGGTGGAGAGTAGTACAGTGGAGGTTTTGGTGGAGATGTGATAATTTTGCATCCTGCTTATGGTGGTAGCTGAACAAATCTACATGTGATAAAATGTTATAGAACTATACACACATGTCATACCAATGTCAAATTTCCTGGTTTAGAAGTTTTATTTTGGTTGGCAAGTCATAACCATAGGGAAAAACATTTACAAATATCTCCTACTGGGCCTCCCCTGGTGGTGCAGGCAGTTGAGCGCCACGCTGTGAAGTTGTCCGCAGCCTCTACAGCGCCAGTTTGATCCCGGCTGGCTGGCGAGGATCCCACATGGCGCAGCAGACCTCTCCTGTCACGCCCGCTGCTCCCCTCAACAGTATATTTCGTCAGTCTGCCTGTTCTGTTCCCTGCTCTGTCTCTGGTGAATCCTCTCACCCTCCAGTGTCTGGACTGTAGCCCGGTTCTTGTATAAATAAACAAACAAATAAATAAATAAATAAATTACTCCAAGTTAATAATTTTTTTTGTTGTTGTTTTTATGTAACAGTACCTCTCTTCTGATAAGTAAAATGGCTAGTTAATCTGTCTCTTCAAAAATCTGGGTCATGGTTTTCAATTAAATTTTTTTTGCATATGAAGGGATAAAGACAGGAGCTGAAAAAGGACAGAGAGAAAGAGTGAATTGAACAGGTTTGTCATTAAAACAGTTCAGGAATGAGACTGGTCTGCACTGTTCTCCTAGCAATGCATGAAAATAAACGGGTGAAGAGAACAAATTACATGTAGGGGACTAAAGAGTGAAGAAAGAATGGCAAATCTGAGTTTCAGAAATAAATGACCTAGTTTAGGTTAATTTGCAAGTCTTAGATGACAAAAAGATATCTAATAAAGCATCATATTTTATTCCTAAGTTATGTTTTTAAAAATAAAAAATATAATAACCTAATACAACAGAATAACTTGCACCTAGTAGGCACTCAGACACTTAAAAATTGAATTAAATGCATTTTGTTGTGATTTAAGACCATTTTTACCCATAATATAAGGCAATATATTTGTTTAAATATTTGTGGTTTATATACTTTTTCAAAATTATTAGCAAAAAAGCATAATTATTTCCATACTGTCAATCCCATAGGTTGTAAATTTCTCAGGGGCAGATACTAATCTTTTATATCTTCTTAGAATCCTACAGATTCTATTTATGTCAGTGTAAGTTGTTAATTTACTGTCTGAATTCATCTCCATTATAGGATATTATTAGATGATGAAGCATGTGAAAACTGGACTTGAATTTGGAGACTTCATGATGGTTTGACTACTGTTAATTTTGTGATTTACAGCAAGTCATTTTAATCTAAATTGGGATTCATGCAAAAAAAATCATTTTGATATGCTTAATACAAAAAAGATTATCATTATTGATAATGAGTAAAGACATACATGAAAGGTAAATTATACAGATAATCAAGTCATTTTATTTGAAAAATCTCTGGATAGGAGAAAATAGGTCAGACAAGAATTGAATGAAAGAGAATATAATAATCTTAACTTTTATACAGTACTAATTCCAACCAATTCATCTATTATTAGTTCCTGACTTATTATTATAACTTATGGCTAAAGATAATCATCTTGTGGGAGGGTTTGCTTCAGGGTTTTTGTTTTCTTTTGTTTTAAATTGAATTCCTGGGCCTATTTTAACTAGAGCTCTTTGTTTATATACTGCTTTGCACTAGAAGGGGTATAAGGTGGTTAAAAATCTTTCCTCTTTCAATACATATATTCTGATTTGTAAAAATTTAAGCTATAATAGAAAATTTGTGAATAGGTTAATAGAAATGTGAACATGTAATTGTGGCTTTCTCTGTAAAATTACATCTCCAACTAGGAAAATATGTAAGCTAATCTGCACTGTAACTCATTTTACTCCACCACCTGGTGGATTTTAGCAGTTATTCCAGGAACAATAAAATTGTAAGCCTGATATTATTTGTCAGATAATCGTTTCTGAATTTTTTTCTCTACTGCCACCTAAACTTTCCACATTTATATATACATGTCTTCCTTCTACAATATAAGCTTTCAAGGACATTTTGTACCTATCACTGATAGTATCTTTAATTGAGTTTTAATAAATGTTCATTGAAAGAAAGAGAATGTATTTCACCAAAGATTGTAAAAGAGGGGTTTAATAGTTATGGAGAGCAAATCTGCGAAGCAGTGCTATATAGTGAGCCTTATAAAGCCTGAGGCACAAGGAAAAAAATATCAGAAATACTGATCCTATCTTTATTTAAAATTTTGATCTACTATGGAATCCTTGGCATTAATTTCGATTTTTTAACATATTGCATTAAAATATATTTTCTCTTGACTGAATTTTTTGGCACCCCTTTAACTTTGTGCCTAAGGGAGTGTCTCACTTCTCTCACTCTAATCCTGGCTACGTTAAGAAGCCAATTTAAGAAAAACAAAATGATAAACATTTTTTAAAATATTGACAGATGAAAGAAGGATAAGCAAAAGCAAGGGCTAGTATTTAAAATAATGACTAAAGTAGTGAATTCTCTGGTATATGTAACTAAAGAATAAAAGACAAATAAATGTATGCTTCATTAAATGGAAAGTATATTTTAAAATTCCAAGACACTGAGAGATTTCCTAGGAAAATTTAAGTTATGAAAAATAACCAGGGGTGAGGGGGAAAGTGGAGCTGACTGAACATGAACTAAAATGGAAGTCTACTTTTTAAAAAGTCACTATACCCATATGGTTTTATACTTAAAGTTCTCCCGAACAGTCAAGAACACATAAATTCTGTTAGTCTAATAATTACAAATTGCAGGTAATTCATTTTTTAAAAGTTAGCATTGTCAATATACAAAAACCTGAACTAGCACAAAAAGGAAATTAAAATCATTAATGGATTCAGATGCAAAAATTCTAATTAAATATCTCTTAGAAAATTAAATCCAGCAAAATATTACAAAGATACTAAGCTATCATTATGATCAAATAAAGTTAATTTCAGAAATGCAAAGATGGATCATCATTAACAATTCTAACACACTTTTGATGTCAAATTAAGTGATAGAAATGATATGATTATATAAATAAATAATTAAAAGGCATTTCCCAGCCTCACGACAAAATGCTTGGTTAAACATAAATAGCAAAAGAATTGCTAAACATAAGAAAGATTACTTGCTAAAACTATGAATTGCATGGTAAAATACTGACGTCATTCTGAGGAAAATTAAGAACTAAAAAATAATTCTAACGAGTGCTAGTATTGTAATTCAACACACTATACAATTTCTAACTTTCTAACCAACACAGTAAGAAAACTAAATATGTGGAATAGTAGAAATTAGGAAATAAAAAAGTCTTTGTTTGGAGATTATATGATTGCATACAAAGCAACCTGATATTGCACTAGCATTTGAACTAATAAGAAATTTGATAAGATGGTTACATATAACATAAATATACCTAACTCAATTGCTTTTCTCTATATTACAAATGAATTAGAGCTGGGAATGACAAAAATTTGATTAAACTCTACTTGAACATAAATATAATCACAAAGATTCAGGACCTAAAGAAATTATAAACTTTATCAAAAGTTTAATAACATGACTTGATAAAAGAAATTAATTGGAAATCTTTAAAAAATTAAATCCCACATTATAAATGTAATGCCATTATAATCTCAAATCTCAGTTGCAGTATTCCAGAACTCAAAAAATATGTTTTAAAGTTCTTATGGAAGAATAGATATTTTCTGAAATTTGATATCAAAGCAAAATATAAAACTGTATGACCTTGACCCAAGAATGGAAGGAACAGAGAATCTGAAAATTCATATATATTTATATAAATCCAAAACCATATATACATTTATACATACGTGTACATTTACAAATATACATAATGCTTGTTTCTCTATTCTGTTCCATTCTATTGGGTATTTTGTCCATTCTTGTGCCCATTCATGTATATGCAGTGTGACAACAGCAGAAATCCACTCTCAGTGGGAACAGGATGGATCATTTAGTAAATGAAGCTGACATAATTGCTGCTCATGTTTAGAAGAAAACAAAATTAGGTCTACATGTCAGATATACACAAATACGCCTACCAAAAATTAGCTTTAGTCATGTTAAAGATATTACTTTAATAAAAATTTAAATATTAGGAAAAGATTGAAGAATATTTATGTTACTTGAAAGGGAGGTAGGAGCAGAGAGGAGAATCAGGCAAGACTTTTTCAACAAGACAGGAAAAACAAAGACCATTAGTAAGAAGAAAAGGCAAATCCAGGGCCTCCTTGGTGGCGCAAGGGGGTCAAGCTAGCAGCTGAAGCACTAGTTCTATCCCCGGGCAGGAAGCTACCCGCATGGTGCATCTCTGACTCGTCTACTGCTCCCCTCAGCAGTGTATTTCAGTCAATATGTCTGTTCTGTTCCCCTCTCTGTCTCTGGTGAATCCTCTCACCCCCCACAACTCTGGCCTGTACCCCAATTCCTGTATGCATAAATAAATCTCTAAAAAAGAAAGAAAAGAAAAGGCAAATCCAAGTGTTTGTTAGTTTCTGTCTTTACCCACACAGCCAGTATTCCTAAAAGCTCAGTGTTTGATAAATAATATCAATTTTGAGAAATATACCACTGTGTATAAACATTTTGAGGTAAATTAGTGCTGTTTATTCAACAATATTCTAAGTGATTTTTGAGCATCCTCCCACAGCCCTTCACAGACAGTGTGCTGTGAATGGCCTCCATATATGCCCTGAGTGGTACTGAAATGTAGGAAACTGATCATCTTGTTACTCAAGCTTGTTACTCAACCCCAAGTATCTCTCTCTCTCTAATATACCGAAGATGGGGTGGAGCCATTTTCTAAGGTCTATAGGGATCATGTACAGAGAATTGTCTATGATTTCCTGGGCATATTGAGGATCCCTAAGACAAGTGACATCATCTTTCCACTCAAGATTAAATAAGTGTCCAGGGCTTTGAGTATATGTCATCTATTAGGAGATGTGGTAACATTAAGTGACATTATTCAGAAGAAATCACTGGGAAATAATCATTTACATTTTCTTTTAGGTCTCTGATATGAGTTGAAGTTTGGTCCTTTTAAGTATACTACTTAAATGATTATATTCCCCAAATAGTAATTTTTTAAGATATTAAGAAAGTCAGTTGATGATAACTGAATTCTAAGTATTCATTTATAAACTCATTCATAAACGTATTTATAAACTCCTTTCACTTACAAACTATATATAGTAAATATTTATTTTCTGATTTTTGTCATTTTTCTCTGTTCCTGTTCATTTAGTATTACCTTTTAGAGTGAGGCATTTACTCCAATACTACCAAAGAATGTGGAATGTTGAATTCAGAAAGTTGGCAAGAAGAGCTTATGCATTGTCACAGAAAAAATGTATTCCTGGACCTATGTCTCATGCCTGCTTGTTCCTCATATTTCATAAGTGGATTTTAGTCTGTGATAACTTCCTTTCCTGGCATCCATCAGACCACCTAGGATTTTAATGATCCTTTTTTATTGAGTGCCTATTATGTGACAGGGAGAATTGGTTGTTTTTATTGACAATTGGTTATATTATTCAAAATAACAAATGGGAAACCTCAGACTTTTGGAAGCTTATAATTTCCAGTAAACTTGGCAAGGAAATAAATAATTCACTACTGTTTGGCTCAGAGGACTACACGATCCACTAGATCAATTTGGAGGTAGAATTTATTAGAAATGACACCACGAGGGCCTAAGTCTCAGGGGATAGACTCTGGAAAAAATCTGATCTCAGAAGAACCTTTCTGCACCTAACTGAAAAGCTGTGGTCTTGGAATGAGAGAGGTTTCTACCATCTTTTCCAAACCCTGAAGTCCTCAGTCAGCACAAATGGGCAACAGGAAGGACTTGTCATTCTAATGACACAGCTTTATGGATCAAGTATCTCTTTGTGAACTGTTGGTATTCTGCTTTCATTATAATGGAAAATGGAGTTTCCACCCTGCAGGGTATTAACCTGTTAAATTTAGTAAATGAGCACAGTTAAGTGAGTCCAAGTTCCAACTTGCTTTCTTCAGTTTGCTGCTAACTAAAAGATTGAACATATCCTGAATTGCTTGTTCTGGGGAATACAAATGCACCTATTGACAGTGCTAAAATGGTAGATACACAGTTAAGCTCTATTAGTAGCCCATTACAAAAAGTGATTTTTTTTTCATGTAGCAAGGCACTTCTTTGTACCTTTAAAAATAATTGTGGGGTTTCATTTTTGAAGGACAGATCCCAAATTATTATTATTTTGAAGGACAGATCCCAAATTATCAAAGTCTTAAAGACGACATTATCTACATGGGTAAGTATATTTAAGTATACACTGACAAGTGTGCATTCTCATAAGTTTTTGTATATATTTAAATAACACAATTTAACTGAGAAATTTCCTGTGCCAGTTTTGAAACCGTATTACTTACATTAGCGATCACAAGGGAGTAAACTGGCTTAGTAACGAGTTTATCACAGGAAAATGTATTTTTAATGTATGCTAATTTCAAAAGACTCATAGGAGTCAGCATGCTTTAGTATCTTACATATAGTCTGGGAAGAATCTGGTCTGGGAACTTGTATATCTCTGAGCAAGGCAATGAATTATTGGCTTCTTGTTTTCTTCATTTATAAAATTGCAGCTAATACTTCTGCACAAAAAATGTTATTTAGACTAATAAGGTAGTTGAATATAGCAATGTTCATTATAACATTATTCACCTTCAGTCTCTTAAAAAAACAAAACTTCATAGAACATGATGGACTAAATGTATGAAGATTTAAACACTTTTTAGTAATGTCTGGGATAGCAGATATATTCTTAATTAAAATCTCAGGATACTAAGCTTATGAGTAATTAAAATTACCTAGAACTCATTTATTATTGAGAGCTGATGTTGGGAGAAACCTCAAGATAACAATCTTTGTTTTGCACACAAACCACAGGGGCCCAAAGTCAGATAACTTTTCCTAAAGACTTGATGATGTTGATAATGAGGATGCCTCCACCTTTGTCCTGTCACCTACCATCTATTTATCAAGTGGAATGTCAAAACAATAAGGGGAAAGATGAAGCTCAGGCTTCCGATTATTAATTTACTACGATGAAGAATTACTCCAAGACACCCTTTGAGTAATAGGCACCGTGATCTTTGCGAAAAGAATATGTAGCAATTTCCAAAATGAACTGAACGTTTTAAAACGCGAGAGGTCTTTTGAAATGCTGCGAATTCAGGGTAACGGGCGGAGTTGGGCGGTAATTTGGCCTTCAATGGTCTAAACCAGGAATTCCTACAGTTTAAACTCTAGAGCCAGACGCACTACGCGCTGGAGCGGGTCCGGGGAGACCAGGAGCTGCGGGGTTAGGGGGTCGAAAGGGGGTGTGGGTGGTCGGGGGTGGGATGTGGGGTGTCGGGGAGCTGCCTCCTGGAACCCCGCGCCGCCTGAGCCCGCTCCAGCCGGGTCCCCGTGTCCGGCCGCGCACCGGCTGGGCCGCAGCGGGGGCGCCTCACCAGGCAGCAGCGCGGGCTGCGGGCGCGGCGGGCGCGGGTGGGCGCTCGGGGGCACCGGGATCGGGAATGGGCAGCGTACCTCCGGCTCGGGCGTTACAGCCGTAGGGGTCATCCCCCCGGGTTTGATTTCCAAACGCGTCTCCACGACGTCGCCCAGGCTTAGCGGCCCCTCGTCGCCTAGGCAACGGGGAGCGGGGGCGGGTGTAGCTGGGCAGGGGAACCGGTTCCAAGCGCACGCGGTTCCGCCCCAGCTCGCCGGGGAGAAGGCTGGGGCTCCAGAGCGCGCCGGGGAGCCGCCGGGGAGCCGCAGGGGTGGGCTTTGAATTACGGGGTAGGGACAGACTTGTGCCTTTAGTAAGAATCAAAAAGGGAAGGGAAAAGAGCAAATATTTTTTGAGGGGAGGGGCATGCGTAATAATAGATGGTGGTATAGTGGACGAAAGCACATTGAGGACGTGGGGGAATGGGTGGCGGTTATGCTGTCCTCTGTACGTCTATATGTGTTTAAAATTTTCCATAATAAAAACATTCAGCCATAATCTATATAGTGGCAGTTTGAATGTTCCGGCCTTCTCTGGATGATAAATCTTGCTTTGAAAATGAAATATACTTTTGTTATATTTACCTGCATGGCGGTTGCTATGCAAGAAGCTTACTCTAAAAATCAGGCATTATTTAAGTGCTTCAGTTTCCCCATCTGTAAAATGAGATTATAACAGTGCCTGCTTCATAGCATTACTTTGAGGATTTAACATGTTAACATATGGGAATGTTTAGAACAGTGTCTGGCACCTGTAAGTGTTAGATATTATTAGGCTGAGTATTAGTATTATATTTCTCCTGACTTTAGTCCATTCTGTACACAGCTCCCAGGATAATATTCCATCACGGACTCTTTCTTATATACGCCTATTACCACTCTGACCAAATTGAACACTATATAATCTCATGATAATTGTGCCTTTCCTTCAAATGGTCTCAAGGTTTAAATATGCACACAAATTGTACCGTCAAGTGTGTTCATAAATTGTCTCTAGTTTTGCTTATGTTTGGCTAATCTTTGGAATGGAATGTAGGTGTCCTCCTTTGTTATTTTCACTTCTAAAGAAACTGCTTTAATTTTGAATACAAAGTGTGCACTCCACAATGTGTTTATGACTTCAAACCTCATTTAAAAGGGACATTAGAACTTCCTCAATTAGTAAAAAGATAGTGGATTTTTAGTGATTGCCAGAGTTAGTACAAGAGCTACCACCTATAAGCTCATTACAATGCTTAATTGTTTCCCTATAATCACTCCTTTAAAGGAATTGAGAATAGTGGCTCACCTTCTGCTAGGTAAGAATCCTTTTTTAAATTTAGCATTTGGTAAAGTGCAGGAGCATTTCTTTCTAAATTGTAGTTCTAGTTTCCTCAAAGATAGTATTTTTTTTTTTTTTGACCATTAACTTCTGACATTTCTTTGACAGTTTTTAAGTTTTCTGGGCTCCTTTTTGATTTTGGACCTCAGACCTCAGAACTAGATGGAGTACCCCATTAAAGATGGAATCAATTCTAACAGTTACAGAGGGGGTTACCTCAGGGAGGTGGGAGTTGTTTTGTAGGAATTCCAATTTTACTGTATTTAATGTTGTAATTTATTGGAGAAGTCAGTTTTGAGGAGGCAATTTAATTTTATGGGGCACAAATGTTTTGCCCAGTAAGGAATGGTGTTGAAAACCTATTAGCCTGAAGGTTACTTTTAATTTGCACAAGTTGAAGCTGATTTTAGCCTCCCACCACTTTTGTAGGGAAGTGCCAACAAGGAAGACAAATCTCAGTAGGTGATATGCTTTCTTACATGGAAAGGTCAGTTAAGTCTTCCTTTTTCAGGTATCTTGTGAAGATAAAGGGTTCTCCCCAAAGCCTACAAAATTCCATTTGTTATCTTAGTTTATTGTTTTAGGACTGGGGGGAAAAAAAAAAACATACGGATCTTGTAGTTTAGAATTATTTTTGAAAAAGACCTCTAACTTTTACATCACAGTGAATTCTGGAGTACTTTGAGTCTAATGATTGATCAAGTGGATTGGCCCCTTTTCTAAAGAAAGTACTCCTATCTACATACCTATAAACATATGAGCAGCACATTTTACAAATGGAGTCAGATTTCTTGAAAAGGTAGCATTTTCATAATGTTACCAATTCAAGTACTGGATGTTTAAAAGAAACCATATTTATTTAAGTGGGGGAAGCATTTAGGAAAGGGCTAGATAATTTTATGATGAATATTGATGGACTAGTGTGGCAATAGATGACAGTGAATGCGGATAGTGAGATTTTAGCTGATCTTAGTGTGGGGAAATATTTCTGCTCTCTTTATGGTTTCTGTGTTACTAACTCATTTTGATGCTGGCTGAAGTATGAATGAAGTTCTTTAATGATAAATGAAATAATGTCACTAATGAGATTAGTGACATATTAATAATTCAAACACTGTGATTCCTGAGGTCGTCAATCTATTAAGTGACACCCAGTAAAGTCTTAAGAGGATCAGGCTGGAAACATTCCAATGTGTCTTTTAAATGGTACTAAGAAAACCACCTGGAGATGGACTTGAGAAAGCACATTGTAGCTTAGCCTTGAAATACATTAAAATTGGTAGATGTAGAAAGAAAAAAAAAATGTAAGTAGCATTTAATTTGTAAGTACTTGACTTTACTCTTTGTTACACATTTAATTTTTTGCAAAGAAAGTATTCTTGGAACTAATCAATTTTGAAATATATCTAGGTTTCTTAACCTTTACCTAATCCTCAAATCTGGTCTTTCATTTAAATCAAGTGCTTTATAATCTGTTCAAGTCATATGTGAGAACATTTTAAAAGGGGTGGCAGTGTGTATCTACAGTGGTAGAATGCATTCGCAGACTGATTAATAGGGGAAGGAGTATGCTTTCCAATAAGTGCTTGGTTTGATTTTTGACATTGTTCATGCTAACTATAGCTTATCTTCAAAATTCTTATTCTCTCCCTTTGTGGCTCCCTCTATTGTTCTTTCTTTTAAATAGCTATTCCCTTTCCAGTAGATCCTGATGCTCTTCAGGTAAAACTTGTAGGGTTTTTTTTCCCCAAAACCAGAAAACACTCTTTTCCTAATCCAGAGGGCTATTGAAGATAGTCTGTAACTTGTTCCTTTCCTTTCTGATCAAGTTATGGAGAAAGTGCCCTCTTACTCATCATCTTGAAACAGGGCTACAGGGGTGCTTATAGCCATAAAGACAGGCCAATAGAGGACAGGTCACTGTCTGTGGATTTTCACCAAAGCCCACAACTGCAAGATAACTTAGGCTCAGGGAACAACAATAATGGGGTTTATTTAACAAACAGGAAACAAAGAGTTTCAAAGGCCATAGGTGGCCCACTCTCTCATCCCAGTTTGCATCCATAGTGTCCAGAAGTCCCAAACTAAAATAAAGGTCCTTGTTCAAGACAGCACAGTCCCACCAATGAGGGCCTGGAGTGTGTGGCACACTGGCAAGCAGAGGGCCAGGATCCAACTCACTGCAACTGGAGGTGCTCATAGGTGGGGCTGCTGTGACAACACTGCAGCAGCCTATAGCAACCAACAGCCTCAAGATTGGGATGGACAGCACTGGACACAGGACCAGGTATTAGAGGCAGCAGCACCTGGAGACAGTGACAATCAGATAAATAGTTCTTTGAGACATCAGGCCTGGGGTCTTTAGTGCTCTATTCAGGCTGTGGCTGCAGCAAGATCAGAGACAGATACAGCTCCCTGGTACCTATGATATTATTCAGCATTTTTCCTGAGGTAGGCTGCTGAATGCTGCTTCTTCTTTTGGAGGTCAGGAACAGAATGGGAGTCTTGGAGTCCCAGGTGGGCTTATGGCCCTGCCTTATATCCTCTTTCAGTGTCCCCACCTACTTAATACCTGCTGATTGGGCCATTTATAATTCTAAGTGACCATTTTAAAACCAATCAGTCCATCTGATGTGAAATAATTAACTAATGAGCTGAAGAATATGATTGGCTCATGCAGCTTACACCTCATTGGTCCATTCTACAATCAAAATGCCAAATATAAAAAGGCTAGAGCCTTGAACATCATCAAGCCCTGCAGTGCCAGGCCTCCATATCCTAGAGGCTACAGGATTGCCTGGGTGCTGCCCAGAGGCAGTGCTCTGGATAGCTAGTGGGAAACTCCCACTTGGGCTTTGTGCTCAAACCACCAGACTGGCACCTGGGGGAGGGACTGCACACAAGCAGCAACTTCTGGCGAGGGCACGCTTTTCCAACAACTCTCCCTGCTTAGCCAGTGGTGAGAAAGAGAACCGGTCTTGCCTTGCACAAGCTATGGGGCTCTGGTTTCAATCTCTCCTTAAACCATTCCATTCCCTTCAGCCTCTCTACTTCCTTTGCTCTCCTATAAGGTCGCCACCGACTTCTGTCTTCCCTGGTGTTTAGATGTTTTGTTTGCCACTCTTATCTACTTTGTACCTTCTCCATGTGTTCTTGAGTGCTGGGATGCTCACCCTTATCAATTCCATTGGCTACATTTACCACATTCCTTACACTCTGACTTGTGGTTGTTTTTGGCCAATGGGACACCAGCAGGGAGTTGGAGGGTGAAGAATGAGATCAGGGTCATTTATTCCCTCTGTTCCCTCTGTGCAGGATTGCATGTTGGAAGCAGCTAGCTGGGATCCTACATCAAAGACCTTGAAAGTCAGGGCCTCCCCTGGTGGTGCAGCGGTTGAGCTCTGGGCTGCAAAGCTGCCCACAGCCTCTGCAGCACCGGTTTGATCCCTGGCCACCGGTGAGGGTCCCACATGGCGTGACAGACCTCTCCTGCCGCACCTGCTGCTCCCCTCAGCAGTGTATTTCATAGGTCTGCCTGTTCTGTTCCCTGCTTTGGTTCTGGTGAATCCTCTCACCCTCCCGTGCTTCTGACTATACCCAGTGCCTGTATAAATAAATAAATAAATAAATCTTTAAAAAAAAAAACAAAAAAGAAAGACCTTGAAAGTCAGAACTAGTCCTTCACACTCTCTATAGCTACACCCTGTCCTCATCCCCTCCACAGCTTTTCTCATCCCTTCAGGCTTAGGGGTGACAATGACTCCCTCCTGCTGCTAACCCCAGGGTGCTTCTCCATCCCTGTTGGTTTCCCTTATGTCTGCCCACATGTTTATAAAGAGCTCCTTTACTAAACTTTCCTCAGTTATCATTTTTGTGCCAT